CCCCAAGATTACAAACTGATCACAAGCACCAGATTTCGGGTGAGATTACAACCCGGTTTATGCAACGACTACGGCTGACATCCTAAACCGAGTCAACAGTCAGACTAACTGAGGCGACCGTGGGGTTGGATAACGCACACGACGAATCCTAGTTGTTTTCTTTCAGAGCCACACGAAAGTGAAAACATTTGAGTCATTTAAATGTTGCATTAGTTGAGTCTCCGACCTACCAAGCTCTCAATGATTTATGAACTCACTGATGCAGTTAAATAAATCGGTTATTTTTCTGTCTGCACTTGTTGATGAAAAGGACGGACTTCTGAATGCTTTCCTTGTTCACCTTCACCGCCATGCGCCGCATTTCTTACGGCGTCTGAGCTTTTACTGACGGTGAACCTGACAGCCTGGACTTATTGTGCACTGGAAAGGGTTCCAGTCTGCTGTCAGTGAAATCAAACATTGCATGCCTTCGGGCAATCCAATAACTTCCTCTGTGGCACAGATGCTTATCGTCGCTGGACGTGATTTCTCTGCTCAGCTCACATCGGCCCTGTACGTGAGGGAAGAACGCAAATCTTTATGTCTGTGGAGGAAACATCTCAGGTCTTGGAAAAGCTCGTCCGTGTCGTTCAAAGTATGTTTGCAATTCAAATGTAACCTTGCTATGCAATTCTGCAAAGTGCACTCTGTTATTTAATTTTATTAGACCTGTTCTCACCTGCAGCTGAAAAAAAAAAAACACAGTGTGAAATAGATGAAAAATAGAGGAGGAGGTCATGTTCTCTTGTAATTGGTCAAGGAAAATGGGTCTTTCACTGGAAATTGTAAGACGGAAGCCAAGGGTAAAACGCCAACTATCCTTTCAAATACGAAGCAAATTTTCTACTCACCTGCTAATGTGCAGTCCACTCAACCACACGAACGCACTGCTGTTAAATTTTCAAGAAAACTTTTACTCTTGACCATGTCAAAAGATGCTGCAGGTATGCTCTCTTTAATTTTCATTCTGCTAGTGCTCCTCTCCGCATCTCCAGTCGATCAGGCAGCTTTACATGAGGTTTATTGTTTTGCTGATGTTCAGCTATTTTTATCTGCGAAGCTCAATTAATTTAATCACCTCATCAGACTGCAACTGTGTCTTAGAGGCAGAAGTCTGTCGGACTTTTAATTTTCTGCTTTTAAATTCAGAGGAGAGAGATTGTTGCCTTTTGACCTGAGAACGAAGCAGGAAAACCTTCAGGCTTGACTGATGCAGTTTTTTATTTTGTACGTCCAAAGAATATTTTGAAATGCATTCTGGTTGGGTGGACGTTGCCTTACCCTTATTAAGAATCATATAGAATAATCACAAGAATCACAACGACAGAATGTGCGAGGCTGGAGTCGTTCTAGAGTTGTCCGAGTTCGTCTGAAGGGGAGAGAGGGAAGTTATTTGGAGTTCAAAAATTGAGAAGGTAAAATGGGGCGATTGGCGGATTCCTGTGGCTTGAGACTGAAGGCAGGCGTTGGAGGAGCAAGTTGGGCTCTAGTGTTGCAAGGACCAAGGAGATACTCAAGAGGTTTAGTTCGGGGAACGCCGCAGAGTCTGAGGATTCAAAGAGAATGTGAGTCTGATGGTGGAGATCGGGGCAGGCAGGTGAGGAGCAGAGGGAATCGGACCAGGAGGAGACAGGTGGGCAGGCTGTCTTGTCCACAAGTGCATCTTAAGAGGCCTGGAGGAGGAGAGAAGCCGAGATCACTGGAAAATAAATCAAGTCGAGAGTCAAAGATGTTCATGACGTCACTAGAGAAGGCTACATCATCAGAACAAGTTGCAGAAGGGCTAGAGACTGCAAGAACGGTTAATAATCCAGCAAGAAACAAAGATCCTACAGCTCCTTATGTTACCTGGTCTCCTGGGTGATTAAACCCTGGGGTGCAAGCAGAACCGAGCCAAGAAAGCTCTGCAGCAAAGCTCCTCTCTGCAGCAGAACTGATGTCGGGATCTTGAGTCGTTGAGTTTTCATTAGATCAGTCTTGTTTCTGCGTTATCTTAGTTCGCTCCAGTCTTAGTTGTTTTATTCCCATTATGTGTTTTGCTGTACATATTTCTTGTGCTTAGTAGGCTTTTGTCTTGGTTAGATGTGATTTCCCAGAAACCCTGGGAATGTTTACTCCCCCGCGCTCTTTTGTGCCATCTTTATTTCTCTCTCTCTCTCTCTGTCCGTTGTTCCAGCATCCGAACTCCCAGTATGAAGCCACTTTTCTTTCACTTGCTTGATCCTCCTGTTGTCCCCTGTTTTACTTGCATGTGCATGGTCTCTGTTTGTTGCTCTGATCTGGGTCCCTGTAATGTCCTGTAATGTCCTTTATTATTATTATCATTATTTATTTATTTTTTTTGGTAAATTATTTTCATTTTTTCCATTAAATAGTTCCCGTTCATTCGCCGTCTCAACCTGTCTGTGTTTCACACTGCGACAGCTTGACTCCTGTTCTTTAAACATGCACCAGTAATATCAGAACACGCTCAGAAGAAAATTACATTTTTGACATGAGGCTCTCAGACATTCACTTCAAAAAACATCATGTTACGCTGAAGTAGTTTAAGGTGAAAGAACAGTGAAGAGAAATAAGAGGGGAGTGTAAAGGCTATGTGGAATGATCTTCTTAAAATCCTAAAAGGAGCCGAAAAAATTCCACAGTTTTGTTTTTCTCACATTTTATATTTTGACATATTTAAATCAGATATGTCAATTTTTCTGTATTTCTCTTAAATTAGTTGCCAAATGACACACTACAGATTCAATCTTTACTCAGTTTTAAAACTCCAAATTTGTTGGCAATCTTTTTGTTGTATAATTATAAAAAAAAAAATCAATGCTTATAGATTTCTAAAAAAAAAAAAAAAGATCTTCTGTGTAGTTGAATTTCAGTAGCATTGTCTGTGTGTGTGTATTGGGGCTGCAGAGCAAACAGAAACCCAAACTGCAGTTCTCAGAAAATGACATCAAACAAATAAAATAGATTGTAATAGAATAGAAATACATTTCAGATGTTTCTGTCACATGAACCAATATTTTATGCCAAGCCAGTGATAGAAACACCAGCAACATTTGCATGTTGCCACAGGCGACTGCGGCGAAATAAACTCCAAGGTTGTTTTTCAGTCCCAGTCTGTACCTGAAGAGTGTGACAGAAAAACGGAAGAAATAAACGTCAGGTTCAGTGAGAAATTCCCACAATCAGTGATGATCTGCTGCTGTTGGTCCAACATCTTCAAAGACATCCACCAAAATACTTTGGAGGACTTTGTGCTTCCCTCTGCTGACAAGCTTTATGGAGGCACTGATATGTTTTTTTTGTTTGTTTGTTTTTTTTAACAGCAGGTCGTCGTTGAAAGTAGCAGTACCTGTTTTATTGAACATTGGATTACTGTGCTGGACGGGTCAGCAAACTCACTTGACCTAATCCTCATTGAGAATCGATGGATTATTGTGAGAAGAAAGAGATACACCAAACTCCATAACTGACCTAATATTGATGCAGTAATTCATGAAAAATAAAAAAAGCTCCTGCCAACTATTGAGTAAAGGTACTGAGTAGTAACTGCTTATGCTTCTCAGTTGAGCTGCAATTCTGTGTTAAAACACCTGTTTCTCTTTTATTATTATTATTATTATTATTATTATTATTATTATTATTATTATTATTATTATTATTATTTAATCTTTATTTAACATGCATTAAAACAAATAAGTCTTACTTAGATTAAAAATCTCATTTAGTTACACGAGTGTCCCGGGCTTGACAGCAGCAGAACGGGATATTTATTTTTAATTGTCTCATGCAATAGTGAAATTATCAGAGGAAGCCATGTTCATTAAAACTGCGGACAATAAATGCGTTAAGCTTATCTCCTACTGTGCAATGACTCAATCCATTAAATGAGTTTTACCTTAGGAAATTATTTTGAGAAATCAATTAGCTTTCCAGCAATGTTCCAATTTCAGACGCGTCTTGTAAACCACATAAAGCTGGAACAGGAGGAGCTAAGATAAGATGTTACACCTTACATAAGATGCATGTGCTGCAAGCACGGTCTCCTTCATGTCGCTCCATCCTGTCCTCATGAAATAGCTTGTTTTTGTTTTAAAATTGTAAAGGGTAACGCATGGGATTGTAAATCTGTGCCCTAAAAACTGAGAGAATAACCACAATAACCATTCTGCATTATAGAGAAATGTCAGACTCCTCACCAGCAGTCCAGCTTCTAGTACATCTTGTGCTTTCGAATTACATTTGAATACAAGATTTTGAAGATACACGTAAAAAGAAATTGATTGTTATACTTGAAAAGCAGCTCATCGCTGGTGCTTTGTATTGCAGAAGGATGTAAAGGGGCTGTAGGAGAGTGGAAACTCAATTTTTCTTGGATGGCGATGAGTGTTTTAAAGTGTCACAGCCAGAAGAGCAGTGGGTGGTGCAGCAGTGTCCTCACATCCAGCCTAATGGTGGCCACCACTGCCGTTTACCACATCCATGAGAGAGAGGGACTTTTTTTTGTTGTTGTTCCTATTGATGCTATTAGACATTGTCTAACTGAATGAATCTGAAGATTTATTGATTGAAATTAAAAGTGTATTAATTATATGAGGTGCACAGGAACTGCAGAGAAATACATTATATGAGAATGAATTCAGTTTAATCTAAAGATCCCAATCTAATCCTAATCTAGCAGCAGAAAATATAAACTAACCACACATATTATTGACTGATTATATTGGGGTGGAAGATCCTGTGAAACGCTTTTTTAGTGCATTTGTGTAGTCGTGCAAAAGAAAAAAAAAATGGAGTTCATCCAATAAAATGAGATTTGACTTTGAAGTTGGGGTTGATGTCCAGTTCAAAAGCATTCTTTTCACTTGCTTATGTCACACACACACACACACACCCCCACACACACACAACCCACATGGGATCACAGAAGGGAGGGGAGCTGCGCGTCCACTGAGGCTCTCGGCGCGTTTGGAGCAGCAGCTGAGCGCAGTTACTGGCCAGATCACAGCTGGTTCATATGCCATCTGTTGCTCAAGTAGTCATCCTCGCTCGTACGTTTTTTCGTTTTATTTATTTATTTATTTTACTTTTTCATGCAAAATCTGACGCGGATTGGCGCCTCTAACGGGGAAAGTGAGCAAGTTTTACGCACAAGTTTGGAGAGCAGACGGCAGCCGTAGTCTGCGAGTTTTTGTAAAGCGGACACCTAAAGATGAACGAGACCGACATTATCTGCGAAAACATATCGTCGTCCAACTTTAGTGATTTGTCATGTTTAACTACGTCTGCCGCGCCTTACAGCCCCATCGACATCACCACCTTCATGCACATTTTCCCCTCCATCTATGGCATCCTGTGCTCCGTCGGAGTCATCGCCAACGCGCTGGTGATCTACGCGGTCGCAGCGTGCAAGAAGAAGATGGTCTCGGACATCTACGTGCTCAACTTGGCCATAGCTGACATGCTGTTCCTGCTGGTGATGCCCTTCAACATCCACCAGCTGGTCAGGGACAGGCAGTGGGTCTTCGGAAACTTTATGTGCAAGGCGGTGGTGGTGGTGGATGTCAGCAACCAGTTCACCACCGTGGGGATAGTTACAGTGCTGTGCATTGACCGGTAAGTGGTAACTTCACTCTCGGTACGTCAGCTTATTTAATAATGTTATGTAGGGGCAATGGAAGCATAAAAACGTGGGAACGATATGCAAAAAATGATCAAAAACAGACTTGAATGCAACAAAAAAAGAATACATTTTCTGAATTGGATTTTTTAAATGCACTAACAAAACAAACTGTTTAAATTTAAAGTATATTTGTCGAAACAAGTTTCTGAGAAGAAGTTATGTTATTGCTAAAAGTTTCATAAATTAGTCAAATTCCAACCATTTATTTAAAACTTTCCAACTCAACTGCATTGGTTTACTTTTAATTATTACATTTATTTTTTGATCTGTCCAAACCAGTAAAAAAAAAAAAAAATAAATAATAAAAAAAAACAGAAGAATTGGTTTGAGATGAAAATGAAATATCAGTGAAACAGCAATAAATGTTTGCATTGTTTTCTAAAACTTTTTCCATTGCAACCACAGCTTAAATGTGACATCCAATGACGTGTTCAGCATAAAGCTTGTTGGCAGACTTGACTTTGGGAATTACACTTTTTCTAACTAAAGCTTTGTTCAAACATTAATTTTCACTCCAACACAGAAGCTCTCTGAATCACTAGTCTTAAGATAGCTTCCAGTTTCACACCAAAATCACATATATATTCACAATACAACTCATACAGTGCTTTATAGATTTGTTTTCTTTTTGCTGACTCGCTTCCATGTTTCATCAGAGTAAATTTAATGCCAGACTAGATTATGTAAATACCGCTAATGCAGTTTTCTAATTCATTAAGTGATAAGACACAAAATAATAGCAGCACCCTCGGGTTGTTGGGTTGTTCCACCCCGACTAATGCCATCAAGGATTTCACTGGCAATCAGACTTTCACAATTTTTGTTGAGGAATTCTTCGCTTCTCTCTTCTTGGCAGATTTACTTCAGTTCAGCCATGTTGGACAGATCCAGCCATGCACTGGTTTAGATGCCACTCTGGGCACTTTGGTGACCTCTTCACTCAGTCGCTGTTACAAGTTTTCTCCATCTGGGAATCATCTGTGGTTCGCTGGACGTGTCATCAGTTGAAAACTGGTTTTGTGTTTAGGGATGCAAATCAAAACGCAGTTTTTAACGTCTGACAGTAAACATTATTTTTCCAAATTGACGTGGGCTATTAAAACCAGAATAGCTTTTATATCTAATATCCAGTAGCCCCTATAATTGATTTTTATTTTAAGCTGGATATATGAGTGGATGTCAGTGAAGTTTCATGTTTTTTGTTTTTGTTTGTTTTTTTAAATAGTACTGCAAGAGTTACAACACAGGCTGTTATGCAACACATAATGTTCTCTAAATAAATGACCCAGGTTCCATGTTTACCATCTCAGGACATCAGGAACAATTATATTGGTCATTCTGAACTGATAAGGATCAGTTTCACAGGAACACCTGGAGCAGGGGTCGGCCTCGGAGCATGAACGCTGCACTATATAGATTTCCAGAGGGTCATTATCCAGCAAATTGTGTCTTGTGAGAGGATCTGTTCAGTAAACAACTCTTATACTGTCAGTCATGAAATCATGAAAACGAAAATCCAGCCATCTTGAAACCTGTAATTTGTTTTCTGTTTTTATACACACAGACATAGAAAGCCTCTTAAAATCATCAAACACTTCTCTAACCTTATCTACGTCACCTTTAAACCAAGATGTTATAAGCAGCAGTTTGAAGGAAGAGTGTAATCCTCACCTGATTTAGAGTAGAGGACGGCTTTGAAGTGCAAAATTAAAACGGCTTTCAATACAAAATGAGATAGTAAAACTGTTGTGACTTGTAAAGCCTCGCAAAACCAGCATTTTAAGTTTGAAATGAACCTAAAATGCTCATGTTCATGTCTTTGGACATGTTTTCTTGCTGGATGTTATAAATTCAAACACTTTAAATTGCACATTTGGCTAAATATTGATCAGATGTTTTAGGGAATTTTTCTGCTAGAAAAGACAATGAGCATTCCAAGAAAAGTGTTTTTTTTTATTTTTTGTAATTTGACCATCATGGAAATAGAAATAAATCTGTTTTAGTTTCTCTTCATTAAAGGGGACCTATTACGATTCCTTGGAAAGGTCTGAGGGCTAAACAAAACATGTTCACTATATTTTATGAAAAAAATAATCCTCAAAGAGACTTTCCCCGATCAGTTCTACCTTTTTTAGCTTTCAGAATGAGCTTTTTTAGGACCTCTTATCACTTTAAATATAAAAAAGTGATAAGACTTTTAAACAAGGTTTAGTTGGCCAAGCCCAACTAAACCTTGCTGCACACATATGTACCTTCATGCAACCATGCACCTTTAACCTTTAGTCAGACCTAGAAGCAGAAGAAGTAGAGCTTCCTGCACAACCATCGAGATGCAAAAACAAAACACTTGTCTTTTCCAGCAGCCATTGTTCAGTTCATCTCTGCTTGGGTTGCTATAGGTGAGGCGCTGGGCTTGGCTGAGGTTGGTAGTAAATGGGGCAGTGCCGGCCATTTGTGACTTAACAAGTGGGGAGATTTGAAATCGTTTTCAAGTCACCAAAGAGACATGAACTTGTTTGCCAGAAAAGGGCTTGGTGGTTATTTTTAAGTGACACTCGGATTGTTTAGAAGCTGTAGAGACTCAAATGGAAGTATAAAATCCTGCAAAAAATGAATTTATCACAATAGGTCTTCTTTCAAGCACGTAAAGAGTCATTTTCCTTTTCCTATTCGTCCTTTAGAATCTTCCCAGCTATTAAAACTTCAGCAGAATGTCATTTAGAAAATTGCAAAATTGTTGTCATAGAAAATCTTAACAAAGACGGCGACACAACACTAAAAGGTGGATGGGTGTATATAATTTACCGCACTTAAACTGCTCTTTTTCTTGCATGGTTTTCCAGCTCCCTGCAATAAAAGCAGCCAAGTCTAATCTTATTATAAATCTGCAAGCACTTCCTAACAAATAAGCTTTTCATCAAGACAGAGAAAGGAAATTTTAATGTAGTGCAGTCAGGACCCGCATCACTGCGGGTCCTGATTTCAAGATCCTCCAGCATTAACATGACTGCCTAAGAATCTTTGTCATGCACTGGAGAAAAAAAAAATCATCTTTATTCTCTTTTTCATGGTGTAAAAATCTTAATGTCTTCCTGCCAGGTATATCGCCATTGTGCATCCCAGCTCAGAGCGGCGGACCGTCCAGTGGACCATCGTAATCAACTTGCTGGTGTGGCTGGGCAGCGTCCTCCTCACCGTGCCCGTCATGATCTACGTCAAGGTGATCCGCAGGGAGCACATGGAGGTGTGCATGATGTACCTGGACGGGCCGGAGGACATGTACTGGTACACGCTCTACCAATCCATCCTGGGCTTCATCATCCCGCTCATCATCATCAGCACCTTCTACTCGCTCACCCTCTACCACGTGTTCAGCTCCATCCGCCGCGTCAAGCGCAAGCAGTCGGTGTGGGCCAAGAGGGCCACCAAAATGGTACTGATGGTCATCGCCTTGTTCCTGATCTGCTGGTCGCCCTACCACGTCATCCAGGTGATCAACCTGAGCAACAACCGGCCCACCATCGCCTTCGTCTACGCGTACAATATCAGCATCTGCCTCAGCTACTCGCACAGTTGCATCAACCCGCTCATGCTGCTCATCTTCGCCCAGAACTACCGCGAGCGCCTGTGCAGCCGGCAGAGCGCGCTGCACAGCTCGCAGCACTCCTCCAAGGTCACCGTGGTCAAAACCGACGGCTCCAGCTCGGCAAACGACCCCAACTACCGCATCACGGTCATCTAGTCCGCTTCACTTATACGGTGTAACAAATAGGTGGTGTACTTTTTAGAATTGTAAACAGATTTGCTATTACACAGAAGAAGAAGTAAAAAAAAAAGCCTGAAGCGGCAGCATCAAATCCAGCTTTAATAAAATAAACTCTAAATAAAGGCACTGTAATTTTGTTTTTGGATGAATCCTCAGAAAGCACAGGCCGCACACAGCCGGTCGGCTCACGACGGACTGAATTCCACGGCGCAGCTTCGCTGGTCCTTTCACCAGTACCTACTGTGGCGTCTTCTGGCTGAACAGACATGATCTGCTGTAAGTAATCCAATCAAGAAGTCACTATAAGGGCTCATGATTTGTAACCAGAGGCCTCAATAATCCACAGTTTACTGGTACAGATAAGAGCTGCTCTGTTTTGAAATGGAGCAGCCGTAAGGCTTTCTGTGCCACTTGTCACGGTTTTAAAACTTTGTCGCGCAGAACGAGGGACGCTTTTTATGGAAATAACTTGTAAATTGGGTTTACTGCGTTGTAAAGGGTACGTTTAACGGCGGACCGAGCCTGTGAGAGCTAGTTCTCGTTTGTGTTTGGCTCCTTTAATTGTGAATAAAGCCCACGTACAATAATAAAGTATAATTTATTATTTAAAAACACACAAATACTGAAAAATAATATATAGTTGTAGTTGTCTCTGGCTATGTTTTCTCAACATATCAGAGAGGATCTTTGAAGGATTTAAGTGCTTGCTAACGGGGAAAGTACTGTATTTATAGCCTGTTGTTAGGACTGGCCCTGCGCTGATGAATTGTGTTTGTAGGAAATGTTGTATTTAAAGAACAACGCACTGTATTTATGATGAGTGCAGAGTCACACGGTGTTCAGCCCACTTCTGTCGGTTTCCGACGTCAAATATTGAGCGCTGTACCAGAAAACTCCTCTCAGGGACTGCTTTACGAAGGTCAGAAAAATATACAGCGGCTCTCAACGATCTCTCAGCCTGTGCAGTTACCACCGCGGTTAAGTATCCTCTGACAGCTTGCAGCACAACGTTCTGATGCCGTATTGAAATGTTTGAGCCACATGCCTCAGGAGAGACGAACATGTGCATGTAACGTAACATGTGACTTTAGGAGATGAAGTCTTGCAAAAGTATCCACCTCCTTTGAACCGTTTCACACTCCGTCAGCTCAGACTTTATCGTGTCTTACTGAGGTTTTGCGGGACAGGCCGTCACAACGAGGCGCAGACGTTTGGGGAAAAGGGTAGATGGTTTGCAAATTGTACGATGTTGTGCCTTTTAATTTCAGTTCCCCAGAGTTAACGCTGTTTAGAACCACTTTTCACCCCCTGCAGCATGATACTGCCACCACCGTTTGTCACTGAGGGGATGGTGTGTTCAGTGTTAGTTTTCATCACACAGTTTTGCATGTGGGCCAAAAAGATCAATTTCGTTGTGACATATTTTTAGGGGAAACCCTGCAAAGAGGACTTTTTAAAACACTCATGCCGTTCTTTGTGTAGGTTTAAAGTCGCAGCAAAGGGCTTTAATGTGACAAAATGTGTGAAAACTTCTACAAGGCACTACATGTACACGTTGACATATGGGTTTAAATATATGTATAGTTGGAGCAGGTGTTTGCATTGGTAATTTATCATGTCATTGTGTTGTTTTCTGTGTATTTTTGTGACTGCGAAACTATTTTTATAAAGGATTCAGCAAACAACCAGTGATATTTCACAAACACTGTAAGGGACTGATATCGGTTTTGCATCATCGTTCGGTCAAGTGGAGGATAAAATGTGAGAGAAAATGTACAAAAAAAGATTTACTTTATCTCTTAAATATGATTAGATGTTAAAATAAAGTATGACGAATGGGTCAGGAACAAGTGAATAAATGCTTAAGGACTGTTTTATTATTGTTTAAAAAAATAGAGCATAATGCTATAAAACATGACTGATCAGCACCAAGTGTTCTCCAGTCATTTTGATTAATCGTTTGAAAAATACTTTTTACTTCGTTTGTGACTTTTTTTTCTTTTTTTTGGATTTACTCAAGTTAAATTAAAGCAAGTTGTCACTGTGGAGTAACTAACTCAGACTTAAAGAGTTGTTTATGAAACCAAACATGTTCCTGCTTCATTCCTTGCGTCTGTTTTTCCTGATTTAGTGCTCTTGTTATCGTCTTGTAAAGGGTCTTAATGTTTGTTGTGGCGCTTGAGCACTAAATGTGATGTACTGTGACCCAGATTGCTTCTGCAGATGTTGCCCCAGAAGTGCTTTGCAATGTCTGTAAGAGTCCTTCCCTGTGCTTCAATCAAGGCTTAGTAAAAATCTGTGGAAATTTGTAGTTTGTGAAAATGTGACTTGTATTTTATTTATTTATTTTTTTCTTTAGTTACCTCCCATCATTAAATAAACATTTAAAATAGGAAAAGACGGCTGACAAAAGATGGTTTCCATTATTTGAATTGACCCAGCCCAAGGCATACTTAAACAAAGTAGCTGTAAGTGACCTCCAGGCCAACAGGGGGCTCCCCAGAGTTTGTCGCTTCTCATGCGCAATCCAGAGCTCAAAAGCTGAACATCTGTGGTGAGGATTGTAAAAAAAAATAATGAGAGTAATTTTACACTGTAATTAGTCATCCTGTGTATGAATGATAAATTTCACGTTAGTTAAAATTCTAAACTTGTACACAACAGTCAGTTAAATTTCAAGCAAAGTTTGCTCAGGAGTTCATCCAATCTTGAATTAGGTCTGATATTATGTTACAGTCTTTTTCCAAATTGTATTAAATTAATCTGCGTCTTCATATATATATATATATATATATATAGATATATATATATATATCTATCTATATATATATATATATATATATATATATATATATATATATATATATATATATATATATATATATATATATATATATATATATATGTAACGTTACTTCATAACCGGGGATGGTGTACTCCTGATTCATCTTCAACCACACCACATAAAAGCAGTGGAAATTGCTCCGCAGTGTTTTCTCAAGCTCATTTTCTTCTTTATGACACCAGCAGCAGACTGTGGTGAATGGGAAGGGAGGCTGCGCAAAGGGACTAATATAAAACAAGAACCCCTGTCAGTTATAGTGTTGCTGAAAGCTTCTTCACTTAGCAATGGCATAACATTCGTCTCATCTTGCGGCGCACAAGCCGTCGCCTCGAGTGACCTTGGATAAGAGCACAACCTTGTCTTTTAGATGGATTCTCGTGTGAGGAGCTTCAGACTGACGTCGCCAAAGGTTTCACACTCTGAGTCATCTTCTGGAGGGTTTCATAACATTTTTATGATTTAGGTTTGTAGAATTACTGCTTTGTGGTGCACTGCTGATGAGAATTATTGTAAAAGCCAGAGTGGTAATTTGTTAAAAATAATGTTTGTGTTTTATAGTTGAAATAAAGCTCTTAGCTGCAGAAAATACGATTCCATTTTTGCTGAGAAAATAAAGCTCCAAGAAAAGAAGAAAAGTTGCCTCCAGTGTTTTGACATGTTTCATTGGCGAATATAAAAGGAGCTGTAATGATATGCCGCTGCTTCATATGCTGACGTGGGAGTGCTATCAAATTTCTTATTCAAATCCTAAAAATGAAAGTTGATAAAAACTTCTTGAAATGTCAGACTTCTGTGTTTTGTTTTGTTTTTCTTGCCAGCATATAATGAGGCAACCAATTTAATTAAGTTGACAGGAAAGGATGAGAAGAGCACAACAATCATCCAGGAAAGATAAACGCGATTAAAGTAGCAAATCTGAAAATGATCTTTAATTTAAATAGAAACTCAAGGAGTTTCTACATTAACTCATAAAATAAAGTGTGATAATTGAATCTGTAGAGTAACCAGTGTTGATGGTTACTACATTCCTGAGGAAAACACGCTCTAAAATGTCTAATCAAAGCCTCTTTTGCGCCAAATACATGGGGGAAATTGTTCCTCCTCCTATTATTGTTTTGTATACATTATCTCAATTAAAAGAAAATTACATTTTCTCACTCAGTGTGGTTTTACAGCTCCCACTCCCACAGATTCTCGTAAGAGTTAAGAAATATCTGACCCCCACCAGCAGCACCTGTGCTGCAGCAAAAACACATTCCAGCTGTAACTCAATAAACCCAACAGCAGTCCTTTCATTCCAAGGACAACAGTGAGATCTCATGATTTCCTCCACAGTTCTTCTTCTTCTTCTTCTTCTTCTTCTTCTTCTTCTTCTTCTTCTTCTTCTTCACTGCTTACAGTCAAGAGATGGTGATGAGATCTCAATGATGTGTGTCTCAGGAGCGGACGGCAGCTGAGGAAGTACCATGAAATTATGAAACTATACACATATAAGAAGATGTCTGCATGATTTACAGAGTCTGCTACATGTCTCCAATTTTGAGTTTAAGGCAAATCAACATCAAGTGGTGGGTCACAGTGAAGCGGATATATATGGTTTTCAGTATATGTAGCGAAAATAAATGTAACTTCCTGTTCCCTCAGAGTCTAAATACCAAGTGACATTGAACAAATGATGCGAACATGCGATTCGTGCAAGGGAGATGTGTGTTGATGTTCTCAAGCGAGGAAGTAGCTGAATGAGAGCCTAAATTTACTTTGCCAACACACAGAGGAGTATCAGAGCGGGCAAGGGCAGGAACTGCTGGAGGGGGAACTGCTGCAGCAACTCAGTAAATAAATAAATGAATTCGCTTGTAGATTTTCTTTTCAGAATATTTTGGAGGGCGTCTGAGAGTCAATGCTGACCTTTCTGGCCCTTTAGACTAGAGTGAGCTGTGTGTCAGTCCAAGCTAAAGTTTGAAAATGTTGCATTCCTTATTTAACCGTGGAGCCGGATTCAGTGTGCGTTCTTCCTCTTCTCACGCCTGTTACCTTAAATTCATTTCATTAAGCGTGCTTTTATCGCTTTCGTTCAAACTTACATTGGGAAGTTTGAGCAAACAATTTGTCCCTACTTCAGCATTCTTGAGAAAATAGCTGCAGGTGAAATTGTTGGAGGATGTTTTAATTTCTGGATCAGAACAGAGATGTTGGCAGAAACAAATCCCTCATTTATTACTGGGTTATTGTGTGAATGTAGCGCATGCTGCCGGTCAGCTCGTTTTATGGTGAAGGTCCGATTTTCTAAGGCTGGTCTAGTGAAATGAAAGCCTCACTGCCGTATAATTCTGTTGTAGATACTGCAGATGCTATGTAAATATATGTGTATTACAACCTGTTCTATTTAATAAACCAGATGATTTGTTCTGAATATTTTGCTTGTCCTGCACAATAACAGGTCTTATGTGTCCTAGACCAATGCCCTGAGGAATGATTTTGCCACATTTATCCACACATGGAGGGTTTAGTAGTATGGTGTTACATTAAGGACAAAATCTCTGAGAAGCGAGCGCGCATAGCAGGATTTCCATTTATTCACTGGCCAATGAACGCAGCACAGTGCGCAGTAAAACAGACTCCTCCACCCATCCGTATGCACTCGCCAGAAAATAGTGCTTGTTTTTTGCTTAGTGAATGTATTTGTTAATTGGAGGCGGTAACGCTCCTGAGTAATCTGATTGGCCAGATTTCCAGGTCAAATGTGGTGATGGCCGGCACGGGACTTAGGACAACAGGAGAAGAATGTGATGTGGATTCAAAGCGTAGAAAAGGAAGAGGTGGAGCAGGAAGGAAAGGAAGGAAGAAAAAGGAAAGTTTGTTCATTTTTCCTTTCCTTTACCACCCTCCTCCTTCTGCTCCTCTTCATCTCCTTTAAGGCCAAGTCCTGTGCTGCCTACATAGGTTTGGATTTTTTTTTTCTCCTTCAATAATAAAACATCTTCATTTAAAAATGGCCTTTTGTGTATACCTGTGTTGTCTATGACTAATATTTAAATTGGTCTGATGTTCTGAAACATTTAACTATGACAAACATGCAAAAAAAAAAAAGGAAATCAGGAAGTGAACAAACACGTTTTCACACCACAGTAACTGCAGAATGCTTAGTTTTATTTTAAAATCGTTTATGTAAAATGCATAAAAGTTCAATAATTTGTTAAAGAAAAAAAAACAATTAGAAATTGCCATAAAAATAGTGAAGAACACTAGTCTTTTCTACAAAAAAATGATCAGCAGTTGATTCAAACTGAAACAAAAATCACAACTACATGTATTTTTTAATGCTGCAGCGACAACAAATATGCCACTGAATGCAACGTTGCATCATGCCGCATCCTGTAAATGAAAGCACAGGACCTATAATGCCTGCAGTGCAGTGGGTTAAACCTCCGAGAACTCAAGTGCATCAGCAGCATTGAAACAACTTGTTACTTGGCAAGCATTAACTCAGCCATGTTTTGCATGTGTGAAAATATGACTGTGACTTGCTCCTTCTGTGCCTGCAGGAGCATCTCTTTATAAAGGTGCTGCTGCCAGGAAACTAGTTT